CTCTCCTGTTATTTGTAGATAAACAACTTAGCAGGGTGGGAATGTGCCTAGGAGTGTTCTGTGGGTCTTTCCAAGGACTAAGGTCATGTCCCTTCCTTGGACAGGCTTTGCTCTGAGGTAGAGGCTGGTTTTTCACTAGGAAGGTGGAAGGGGTCTTGGTTTTTGCCCTGAATGTTTTCTTGGAGTTTTTCAAAATTTACCGCCTTCTGAGCTGCCCATCTGAGTCAGCTACTAGGCGGGTGGAAAATTGGTCCCTCAGGGCTAATCCTGAGGTGATATTGTAGTCCCAGTTAGGGTCCTGGTCAGGAACTGCCTTGGTGCCTAGAGGATGGGCCAGGTGGTTGGAAGAACCTCATCAGCATAATTATGGGCTTGTTCCCAGACACCCCCCACCTCCCCACACACACACATCCGTGTCTGGGAGAAGGGTATTGGCCAGGATCATGTAAATGTCATGAAAAGTGAGACTCTAGGCTTGGAGCAAGCACTGAAACACCTTTATGTATGGGGCAGAGTGGTGGTGGTGGTGTAGGAACCCAAGTGGTTTCCAATCTGTGAAAGGTCTGCTATGGAGAAGGGCATGTGGACCCTAAAGGTCCCTTCTGCCCCAGTAACCTCTCTCAAAGGAGCCATAATTGAAGTAGGGTGTGGCTGGACAGACTGTGCATGGAATGGAGGACTGCAGGGGGAAGTCGGGTCAGGGGGTCAGGGCCGGAAGAAAGAGGAACTGGAGGGGTGGGGACTGGTGCAGATGCGGGAAGAGGAGAGTGGGAGGAGGGGTTTGTGGGACAATATGGCGGAGGCTCCTTGGCTGGATGAAAATCCGTGGATGAGGAGGCAGAAAGAGAGGAGGGTTTATAAACCAAGAGGACACACTTTGGATTGCAAGAGGTACAGAGAGACAGATTTGAGCTAAGGAGGAAGAAAGCCTGAATATATAAAATCTCTTCCCATTTTTTCAATTGCTTACAATATTTGAAGAGATCCCGCAAAATGGCAGGGTCTAAGGACCTATAGGGGGCCAACAGTTTTGGTTACCTAAGGGATAATTGGGCCAATCCTGAGTAGAGAATTTTATCAATTTCTTGGGATTGAACTCCGGGGTTAGGCTGACGGTGTCCAAATTGTTGAGGAGGCATTTGAGAGGGGAGTGGGCCGGCAGGGAGGAGGCTCCCGCTCCCTCATGGGGCTCTGAGGAAGGGTGTGCTATGTTGACTGGAGGGGCGTCCCAGCCAACTATCAGAAGGAGACCTCAGGCCGAGGATACAGTCGTCACCAAAAATCCTGTAAATGTCATGAAAGATGAGACTCTAGGCTTGGAACAAGCACTGAAACTCCTTTATGTATGAGGCAGAGTTGGTGGTGTAGGGGCCCTCCCGGAGGGCCTTGGGAGCTATAGGTCACCTGGCACCAGGGTTCGAGGAGGTTTGCCAGTTCTCAAGCTGGCCGAGGCCTGTTGGAAGGGGAAGACTCCAAGAGGACCACCTTGACGGTGAAGGTCTGGGTGGGGTGTATTCCTCCCCGAGAGACACCACCAGCCAGTTCCCTGTTATTGTGTCTAGGCGGGTTTAGGAGTCTGGAGGGGGGACTCACCAATTCATCGGCCTATGGCGGATGTGAAGGAAGTGATGGAGAAGATGGGTACAGGTTGGTCTCCGCTCAGGTGGTGATCTCCAGCGGGATGGGAGTCCTGCTTAAAAGCAGGGGAGACCCATCCGAGTCAGGGCACCAATAAAAGGAGAGTGACTCACTCAAGATGTAGATTCAACCAAGAGATTTTATTGGGGGGGGGCTGCCCAAAGGGGAAGAAAGGGAGAAGCAGGGGCTGGGATTGTGGCTCAGCGGTAGAGTGCTCACCTAGCACAGGTGGGCGGGACCCAATTTCGATCCTCAGCACCACATAAAAATAAAGGCATTGTGTTGTGTCCATCTACACCTAAAAATATATATATTTTAAAAACAGAGAGAGCAGAGAGAAAGAGAAAGTAAAGAGAGGAGACAAAGAAGAGGAAGAGGGCAGAGGACAGAGAGAAGAGAGCATGTGCTTACAAGCTCTGGCTTAAGAAGGGTAGCATAGGGGATGTGGCAGGTGCTGATTGGCAGGGTGACTCAGGAACAGCGAGTGGACACTGTGTCCTGTGGGGATTGGTTGAGAAAACCTTTGAATTTGGTGCTCTTGACTTGGCACCCTTTGGAGAGGAGTCCCCTCCGAGAAGGGGGACTCTCCCACACACCCAACAGTTTTTGTACTTGAAAGTCATAGCAGTGACAGTGGTCTCTTGAAAATGCTCCCTGGGTATCTTTTGTCAAGGAAGTCACTAAAGGCCTTGTGGATCCAAGTCATGGCCAGACAGAAGGGGACTTGATCACTGAGATCTGCTGCATAGAATGCACCAAGTGCCCATTGATCAGTTCAGTGGCTGGTGGGAAGGTTTTTATTGTAGTAGCCAATGGTAAAGTAGTTGCTCCTCAAAAGCAGCTCCCCAGTACCTTCTCAGCAACTTAAAGTAGTGGGCAAATGTTTACAACCAATGAACCTTTTGCCTCCTATAGATGCCAAAACAATGTTTTATGTGTGTATATCTAATTTCTCAAAGATCAGGTGCCTCTGTGATTATTACACTTCATGTGGCCTGATATTATTGAAACTTCATCATGGGCAAGAATTTTAATCCATATATTTACCATTATTTTTCATAGACATCACAACACTCTTAAAATGATTCTACATTGCAAAGTAATTGTAAAAATTCATTGGCAGATATTTTCATATTAATTTTAATCAATTAAGATAATGGCAGAAACACTCAAGATTTTATTGATTTATTTTTAATTTGTACATTATAGTTATACATAAAACAGAATTCATTGTGATTTGTTCATAGCAAGTTTTTTTTTAATTCACTGCATGACAATAAAATGTCATAAGGTCAAATTCATGAAACAAAAGAGAAGATGATACATATTATTACAATTGGCAAATTTGTGCAACACAGTGGAAGTGGGACAAGGAGATTACACTGACTTCTACTTCAGGAAATCAGACCACTTGAATGCTTGTTCATCTTTGATTTGTTGCTTTGAGATATGGCAAATCTATATTTCTAGACAGTGACTGAAATTGACCAAGAGGAAAACATAAATTCTTCTTGGCTTAATTTGCTATTGAAAATTGTAGTCAATAATCATGAAAAGTAAATGGCTGCACAGTGCAATATTAGTTGTCTAAGAAAAGATTAAAATTCAAGTAATCTCCATTGATTAGTCTAAGACAGTAACTAAAATGAAAATCCATGACCCAATTACCATGTTAAGCAGTTAGCATAAGATTTTAGTTGTTCTGTTTTATTTGAAGTCTCAGTCTATTTGATGGTTCCCATTTAATGGGCAGATAAATCAGTTTGAAAGCATGGAAGTACTTTTAAGATAGCAGATGTATTGTGTCAACATGACTGAAGAATATTTTTTAAATGGAGTTTTGGAAAGTACAGGACATGAGTACTTTGATATATCAATTTAAGGTCAGATGTTCATTATGCCTTCATGTTAGGGTAGAACAATTTGTACATAAAATTTATAATATCTTACAACAGTATTTAATATGTAATTTATTTCTAAGTAATATATAAGCATAATATTTCTTTAAAAATCTTTCAACTTATTGTTTATTATGCCATTTATCACAGGATTGTTCAGTTAAGCCCTAGGGTAAAATAAGTAGGAGCCATCCTGAAACATGATGGTATTAAAGTCTGTGTTATATTTTCTTTAAAAATGTAATTAATAGTTGAAAATATCATACTATAGCACACCCCATCAGACATACACATTTGTTATGGAGCTCTGCTTCAAAGACATTTGTTCATTCCTGCTTATATGTATGTGTATATCTTTATAATATATATAGAGAGATATCCAAATGATATCTATGTCTGCATATATTTTTGCATATACTCCTCACCATAGGGAAAGAGATATCATTTAAAATATAATTTTAGCTGAAAGTACCAGCATCATGGGGGAACATCAGAATAAAGTAAGATAAGACTTTATGGTATCTTACACATTTTGTTTACACAGAAATAATTCATCCAGGAGAGCAAATAGAAGAAAAGAAGAAAAACTCTTTCCTCCTCCACTTTCCCCACTGCCAGAGGACCCTCCACGTCGCAGAAACGTCAGTGGCAATAATGGTCTCTTCAGTCAAGACAAAAACATCTCCATGAGTGGACAAATCACCTCTACCAAACCTAAGAGAAGCGAAGGCAAATTCTGTGCTACTTTCAAAGGGATATCTGTAAATGTAAGTGTCTTAGAAGAAATATTATGCTTGTCAGGTAGAAACCAATTAGCCCAGCTCATCTAACTGAAAGGACCAGAGGGAATGGTACAGCGGAGGGGAGGAAGACATACAGAGAAAATACAGAAGTGTGTTTTTGAAGGTGTACATGTGTACTCAAAAACAGAAACTTTCCATTATTTAAAAATCACAGTTATTTCAATTCAGGATGAATTTTTCCTTCCAGGTTAATTATCCATCTTGTTTCCTCAAACATAATGCATATGCAGAAACTCAGAGCCTTGATGTCCTTTAGTCCAGTCTCTTCATATTGTGGGGTTGGGGAAGACAATCTATAATATTGGCCATATCATCTCACACATGGTAGGCACTAATTACTTAGTGAAAGAAAAAAATCAAGTAAATGGAATATGATGCCCAAGGTTTCTGAACCAGGGCTGGAATTCTCAGTGGCATCTTCTACCACTCAGCATTACAAATATGAACTGCTTTAAAAAATTGTCACTAAATGTGGTAGAATTTAATAGGTGAATCTTGCTAAAATCACACAATAATAGTTCTAAACTCAGTTAAAGGACTGTGGAGTCCTTTGGATTTTCTATGCTGCTGTTCGATTAGTATAGGTAATCGAAAATTTGTTTCATTTTCACACCCACACACAATGTCTTTTCATTTATCTTGGGTATAGCTACATGAGCTGTAGAAATCACTAGCAACAGTGCTGTTAGTGAATATTAATAAGCAACATATTCACCTACATTTATATATATGTAGATGTCACATCCATATGTGTCTAGTCTCTGGGCATAATATATATAGCAAATCAGTGAAAATCAAACGAATATCTTGTAACAACATTTTGTTCCCTGAACCAGAAATCTCTATTTAACATTTCATGAGTGTCCATGAGGTCTCTGAGCTTCAAGGACCCCAAATTTATAGTCCTCCATCTTCCAAGGTGACTGAGATGACATATATGTCTAGATAAACTTCATTATCTATATAAAAAATTGCAATAGTATAAAGTTGCCATTTTCCATATTTGCGTACACATTTAGCAATGCTGACTCTGTAATGTTGGGAATTAAACCATCTATTTTAAACAGTAATTACACTACTCATCCTATGTTTTCATAGTAAGTGTGATTAATATTATAGACTCCAACTGATGCTTTCTTCTGCAAGCTTTTGGAGGGCATGCAACATATCCAGGGAATTTTCTTTGTATAGTGTCTAGTATATTGCCACAAATAATTAGGTGGTGTAAATAATTGTGCCTACTATATTGCTACAAATAATTAAAAGTTATAAATAATGCAGAGGTTAATATGATGATGATAATGCTTACAAGATTGTATAGTCATTTCCACAAGAGCTAAAAACTACCAGGGAAACATGATAAATATAATTATATTTGTACCTAGAAATATATCATCTTTCTTAAAGACCATGAAATATCTCTGAGTTCATAAAATGAATTAACTTGACTAGAGGATCTGTAAGGCTCCTTCCAGCTTCATGAGTGTTTTCAATTTTGTGCTCTCAGTTTTTTCTATCCCATTTAGGCATGAAGTCCTGTTTATTAACTCAGTGCGTGGGTGAGTGTGGACAGATGACATGTTTACATAATTTGCATGCTTATGAGTATATCTAGCCATTTCTAGTCAAATGTTCCAGAACTGAAATCAATTCCATGTGTGTGAAGGATGTGGTGTTAGGGGTTCTTGTCACTTATCTTGGCCATAGAGACATGTGGCACTATCTTGGGCTAATCCTACGCTCTAGTCTGGGCCAGTCTGGCTCTGGCAATGGAGACATGGAACTGGCTTAGGAGTTTCTTAATGGTTCCTCTACATGTTTGGGTTGAATAAATTCTATGACGAACTTTAAAATGTTTTCTCCATTTCAACATAAAAATTTGTAAGTTGTTAACCTTGCTGCACATGTATCTCATTGTGCTTTAGTAGTAAGAATTGTTTGATAATGAGAAAATTAAGGATCAAGTATAAAAAATCAACTTGCACTATATAAGAAAAATAATATTTAACTTTTCTCTTTCAAGTAAATGCTTTGACTGAGGCAGGCATGCACACATGTTCATGAATGCATTCAGCAGTTGCTAAGAGCACTGGGCCCTGGTGTAGAGGGACATTGTCATGAGTCAGAGATGGCTCCCAATCTGAGGTGACCAATAAGACTTATACTCAAGGACTAGAGTATAAAGTAACTAGTTAATTGGAATCTTAGAAAAGGGATAGACAGACCTGTGAATGATAGAAGAAGATAAAGCACTACTGGTTGTAGGCAAACAGCAGTTTTCCTCATGGAGGAGACATTTGTTGAGCTGACCATTAATAGATGAGTAGGTTTAGAAATGAAGAAATGTGAATAAGCAAAATGGGATCTATCCCCACAAGGGAAGCCATGTAATCTAGCCTTAAAAAAGAAGGAGATCCTGTCATATGCTACAACATAGGTGAACCTTGTAGACATTATGCTTATTGAAATAAGCCAGGTATCAAAGCACAAATACTAAAGGATTCTGTTTATCAGAGCACAATTATAATAACCAAGTTGTAGAACCAGCCTGGATGTCTATCAACAGATGAATTGTTAAAGTAAATATGGTATAGATACACAATGCAGTTTCATTCAAGCATAAAGATGAACAAAATTATGGCATTTGCAAGAAAATGGATGGAATGCAGATCATGATGTTAAATGAAATAAGTCTGACTCAGAAAGACAAGTATGGTATGTTTTCTTTTATATGTGAAAACTAGAGGGGAAAAAGGATAGCATGAAAATAAAAGGAGAGCCTTAGGATAGAGTGAGAGGATCAAGGGGAGGGAGGATGGTAGGGTAGGAGAAGTATTCAGGAGTAAAATGGGTCAATTTCTATTTTTATGTATGCATGAATATGCCACAATGAAACCCACCATTCTGGAAAATTAAGATGTACCAATAAAAATATACTATAGGATTCCACTTCAGTGAGGTCCTTAGAGTAGTCTTATTCTCAGAGACTGAAAGTATAATGTTGGCTGCCAAGGGCTCAGTGAGGAAGAAATGGGGAGATGATGTTTAATGCCTTCAGAGTTTCAATTCTGCAAGTTGAGAAAAAAGAGTTCTGAAGATTGGTTGTACAGCAATATAGATAGACTTAACACTACTGAATTTTACACTTAAAAATGGCTCAGACAGTCTGGGCTTAGTTGTGCATACCTGTAATCCCAGCAGCTCTGGAGGCTGAGGCTGGAGGATAGGGAGTTCAAAGCCAGCCTCAGTGAAAGCAAGGTGCTAAGCAACTCAGTGAGACCCTGTCTCTAAATAAAATACAAAATAGGGCTGGGGATGTGGCTCAGTGGTCTAGTGCCCCCTGAGTTCAATTTCCAGTACCAACCCACCAAATAAATAAGTTTCTTATCCATTTTTGACCTTGTAAAAATGAATTTTCACCATCGTAAGTCTTCAAAATGAGGCAGACTCACATGACATTCACCTAGCCAGACACCAGTTGGGAACCTCCCATGAACTTCCATGAAGCATGGGAAACTCCCATTTTTCAGTTGTAAGTCAACCAGAGCATTGATTAATGCAATATAATACCTGGTGTTTGGGTATTTTGATGGACCATGTCTGGTATTTTGCAGAGTAACTTGAGAACTTTATTTATCCTAGAGTTTCTGGGCTTATTGTATTATAAAAAATATCCACTTTAGGCTCAAGGATTCTAGTCTTTCTCCCCCTGTCTGTCCCTCCTCTCCCCTTTTTCCTTCTCTTCTCTTTTTTTCTTCCTTCTCCTCCCACCTCACATTTCCCACTGGGTTTACATATTTGCCTTGTATGTCCTAATGGGACTATGGGACCATATAATCTCAGTGCCTATCCTGCTTGGTATTTGGTGTCATCATAGAAAAAAAAAACTGGTGATTCACAGCACTCACAAAATATACCAGGGTCACCTATTTATCCTCAAGCTGTGTGTATTGTTTTCTTTTTTCTTGGCTTATTTCTTACTGTGCTTGACATTCATAGCATTTACGAAGATGTTCTAAAAGCCTGGGCTTAATGAAGCTATTTGTCCTCCATTTTCCCAGGAGGGAGACACTCCAAAAAAGGCCGCCTCTGCCACCGTTACTGTCACCAACACTGCTATTGCCACTGCCACTGTCACTGCTACTGCCATTGTCACTGCCACTGTCACAGCTACTGCCACCACCACTGCCACGGCTACCACCACAACCACCACCACTACTATTTCCACCATCACCTCTACTATCACTACTGGCCTCATGGATAGCAGTCACCTGGAGATGACGTCATGGGCGGCCCTGCCCCTCCTGTCCAGCAGCAGCACTAATGTCCGGAGACCCAAGCTCACTTTTGATGACTCGTATGTTGTCCCCAGATTATCACGGACACAGTTTGGGAGTGGTGATTGAAGGGAGGGGGCAGTATGGCTTTTCTAGTGCCATGCATGTGTCGTGCCCCCTTAAGACCTTAGCATCAGCTCCTATAGCCTTCTAAGTATATCGTTACTACACACACGCACACACACTCACACCCCTCTGTCTCCTCTGAGAGATATCTTTGGCCCATTTTAATCATGGAGCTTTGTTACTGTTTTCAAAGGCAGGTGCTTACTCCTAGGATTTTCTTTTTTGTCTTTTCTTATCCATGTCCTCAAATACACATAGATTTATAATTAGGTTTTGTGGGATCTGTTTGGACAACTATAATGATTAGGGTTGGAGGATGTGGTTATTAATCCTAATGGGCCATTATGCACTTCAGATTTCATTTACAGTATTATTTCAAGGTTGGTTATAATATGAATGACAGCATTAGTCTGCCTTTTTAAGGCATTATATTTTTCAGGGCATTATATAGGATGGATTCATAGCATAAAACATTTTGACTATTCAGTCTTTTAATGAACAGATGAACCATTGGTTTGTGAAAGAGCATGTTTTGTTTACTTAGGGTTCACAATGCGGATTATTACATGCAAGAGGCTAAGAAGCTGAAGCACAAAGCTGATGCACTGGTAGGTTTCTTTCCTCTCATTGTTTTACTCTCACTGAGTTATTATGCTTTGAAGGAACATGAAGAGGGCACTTTAAAAATGAGTAAAGACTTTCAGGAGGACAGCCCAAACCTACTTTGCAATGCATTACTGCTCTGACAGGAATATTAGAGCTGGTTAATTCCTTAGCACCCTAATTCCCAAAATTCTTTGAGCTGGATTCTCCTATTATTATTTGTTTTCCACCATTTTCTCCCTTGCCCTAACACCAGAAGCTCAGTGACATATACCATTGTTAGTATCTTTTAAATCTGAATTTGAAATGACTTTTGAAAATACTCTGGAGAGGATGGGAAGTTCCATTGAGTCTGTTAAGCCAGAAATGCTGTGGGTAGGTGGAGGTTATTGAGAGCTGGCTAATTGGCTTCAAAAATCAGCTTTGAGAAACTTGGTGTATAGAAAAAGCTCAGTTCTTTGATGCATTTGATTAAATATTCCCAAAGCTAGGCTGTGATCTTGAGCAGAGAAAGGAAATACTAGCATCTGAATCTCCCAAGATACTTTTTCCAGCTGCCTTCAAGGGTCTCAGCCACCTAGAACAGTGATGAGTTCAACATGCTGAATTGTTTTACTTCATTGATCCTCCTAAAAGTGGCTCTCAACCACATGTTATAGTCACTTGGGAAGCTCAGGATATATTCCAGACCAGTGAAATTAGAATTGCTAAAACTGGGACCCTGGCATGGTTACCAAAACTCCCAAGGGATTCCCAAATGTAGCCATTTAGGAACCACTATCCTAGAGAAGGCCCTGAAGTCAGGCTTCTCACCACTGAATAAACCACAACACAATCAGAAGTATCAGATGTTCATCACCATTTTGAGGGAAAAAAAGAGCACTTTCCTTCACTAAACTGTGTACAGCCAGGGCTTAGCTGTGTTGGATGATGGAAAAGCTATGATTGAAGACCATGACAGGCTATATGTATAAGTAGTGCATGGCCAACATCAACTACCCATGGCCCTTGCATCTGCTACTTTCCTTCTCTCTATCATTTTTTCCTGTGGTCCAAATTGCTTAGCTATTGTCTGCAGCTAACCTTCCTGTAGTGTGAATTGTCCCCTAGAAATAATATTAACCAGCTCCTGCAGACAAAATGACAAGGCAGGCTGGGGGCCAGCTCCATTGGTGGTGCCAGGCATTTGGTGCCAGTGATCATTCTATGAGTGGTGAGAGATTTGAAAGGCACTGGGTGGCTTTGCTGCTGGCTGGAAGACCAAAGGTTTTCTCCATATGTCCTCAACTCCACAGTACTTTAGAAGTGCTCTGGATCTTGCTCTCTGTTAGAACTAAGGCAAGGGAGCATATAGATGCTCCTTAGAAAAGCTATTATGTGAATTGATAAAGACTGGAACACATGTATGAAACCACATAGATGAAACATTTGAAGACCTGAGGAAAAAAAACAGAGCAACAGAGATATATGCATATGAGTAAGAATTTACTTCACTCTATCTCCCAAAGTCATGTTTATGTATCTCTCCAAATCACTGTCTATCAAGAGAACGCATTCTTAATGGGGGAATTACTACCTCCATGAGGGCAAAAATTGGTTCTTTGGGTGGGATGCAAAAATCTTATATTACAATGAGCTGTGACCCTTCAAAGGGCCACAGTGAATAAAGAAATAATCTGCATATTTTTGGTATGAAAATGTCCCTGGTGGTCTATGAAAAATATCTTTAAAAGCTCTTTGGGGGTTGGTGATATTGGACAAAATAGATCTAGACACACTTAGATGAATGAGATCATTGCTCAGTTTATCTCTATACTACTATTGAAAAATTCCTGGTGGTTCAAGTCTCTCAGTTTATAAATGGGGAAACTAAGAGCCAGGGAGAGGGTATGATTTGGCTATTAATTGCAACTAGAGCTATGTGATTTTCATTCTGTACTTCAGTTCTTCCTCCTTTTGGAGAAGCAGGGGTTGGGGCTAGATGACCTTCAAGTATCCTATCAGCTATGAGTATGAATGAAAAGCCATTTTCATAAACCATGATATAAATATTAATTTCCAAGTGGGAGACACAATCAGAGCCTGAAGACCTAAAGAAAATATCTTGTAAGATGAGAGAAAGGAGCGAGTTTGGATACAGATAACGGATTTTCATAAAATCATGGTAATTTGGTTGAAACCAATATTTCTCTACTATAGCTCACAGAAAGGAAACCACAGAATTCTTTCAGTGCATAAAAGCTGGAGAACATTTATTTAAAAGGGGCACTTACAAAAGATTCTGTAGGACCTATAACTAATCATTTTATAGTTGTACTTATTCCTTTTCTAGAGACAGCTAGTGTGCCATTTTGAGAATTAGAACTTTCAGAGTCTTGTAAAAATTTTTTTGATAAAAGGTATACAAGAAAATTAAAATACTTAAATCTGCATTATATTGGTTCTTTTACATAAAAAATACTGTATTAGTGGCATTCTTACATCCAGCTATCAAAAACTGAAAATGTTAGATTCTGTTATAAAATACTCCCTATAAAAGTGTCATATATAATATTCATTACACATAAAAAAGAAATCAGTATGTCTAAGTCAGTTTAATCATGACCATTATCAGGGCTAAAACCTTTTGTAATAAAATTTTACCAAACTAAAATATTTAGTGGTACTCTATTTTGTGGCTTTTTGACACACTATTTCAACCCATCATTTGCAATGAAAGTGATGTGATTGTTGTCAACAGTCTTAGTACAGTTCCACATTTTTCATAACAGTAGCATCAATCTGTTACTCTCCTCCTGGGGATGGGGTTGATGTAGAGTTCTAAAGCAAAAGCTGTATGTGGGGCTGGGGATGTGGCTGAAGTGGTAGCGCGCTCACCTGGCATGTGTGCAGCCCGGGTTCAATCCTCAGCACCACATACAAACAAAGATGTTGTGTCCACCGATAACTAAAAAAAAAATAAATATTAAAAAAAGAGCTGTATGTGTTTGTTGTCCATGAGGCTTATAGAATTCAGAGCTTAGTGACAAGCACTGTGTAAAGGATGCTACAATGACTATTCTGTTCAGTAAATTGAGTGATTAGAAACTAGAAGGCCTGGATTTGGATTCTGGGATGCAAAAAAAACCTCATGAGAACAATGACAATAACACCATAAACCACATATGATACCTCTGCTGCATAGTCCTCTTCTCAGCTAGCCTCAGTGTCATGACAATAAAACCATTAACCAGTAACTTCATCATTAATATCAATTCATATATTGTCCTCTCTCTATGTCAGTGTCTCTCAGCCTGGGCACTGTTGGCCTCTGGACTAGGTAAATTCTCCATCACAGGGCTGCCCTATACATTATAAGATGTCTCTCAGCATTTGTGGCCTCTGCCTACTAGGTGTTCCTTGTCCCCAGTGGTGACAGCCTAAAATGTACCTCCAAACACTGCCAGATGTTCCCTGGGGGAAGAGAACAAAATGACCCCCTGTTGTGAACCACCCCTTTATATGAAGTACAGAAGAGAGTATATCATGTTGACAAGTCATCTTCCTGTTTCAGTTTGAGAAATTTGGAAAAGCCGTGAATTATGCTGATGCTGCCCTCTCCTTCACTGAATGTGGCAATGCCATGGAACGCGACCCTCTGGAAGCAAAGTCCCCGTACACCATGTACTCTGAGACTGTGGAGCTCCTCAGGTAAATGGCCTTTCTGCAGTCATCTCCCTAAGCTTATTTTAGCCAGAATTAGAAGTTTCTATTTTTTAAGTATCATTTCCATATTATAATAATGTGTCTAAGTCATCTTCTTCTTAGAAGTCATCATAATTAGTTCTGGCTATTTTATTAATACCATGGAAAATTTATAATTGATGGACACTGGTTTTATAAATTATCCCTTTCTGAGGTTATAATGTGAGTCTTATAATTTGCAATATTCATAAAATTAAAATGGAAACATAGCGGGTGGAAGTAAAGGATAATCAATTTGGCATCATCAACTTGTCTTTTCAAAGGCACAGTTTTATAATTCAAAACAAAGTGGTGCTCCCGGGATTTCTATTACAAGCAATATTTTGTAAGAATTTGTATCTTAGTTATTAAAAGGGGTGTGGGTACTGTTCAAACTCCAAGTCAGCATTTAAGGCTGCATTATGGAGCAGACTTTCTGTAGATCTAAAATAAGAAAAAACAGACAAGGTGGTAGTAGGGGGTGTGGGGTAAAGATTGGAAGAGGAAAATAGAAGAAGGTATTATTCCCTGCACACATTATTAGTTTCATTTATGTTTTAAATGAAACTTCTGATCTGTTGGTCTTAGTGGAATAGAATTTGTGGGAAATTGAAGAATTCCTAGAGGAGAAAGATGGAGTTGGAGAAGAAGAAAGATTCACTTGTGTTTTTGTGTTTTACAGTGATTTACAAATATTAGTAAAATAATTTATTTCATTCCTGAATTGTGGATAAGCATCATCATTCACTAGATGTTCCAAATAATCACTTCTGGTTGAGTGAGCAGTTCTTTACCCATAGGCCCTTATGTCCTAATCCCCTCTGGCTCAATTACAAAATAATGCCTGGCTTAATCTTTACTCTCATGCTTGTATCTGCATAAACTATTACAAATCTAAGGATATTCATATATAAGCCTTCAGACAAACATGGGACAGATTTACCATTCATATTCTCCTAAGGAAGTATTCCAAAAGACCAAAAAGAAAGAAAACTATTATCAAAATCAACACTGTCCCATAGAATTAGACATTTGGTTAGAGCCACATAAGTAAGGAGATTCAAAGGAAAACTGCACACTTTCCCGCCTGGTCAGGTAGCCATCTTTCTCATTGAGCTGCTCTTAGATGTAGGCACCACAGCAGAGTATAAAGTAATTCTCTTCAACTTAGTTTGTACAACGTGGAAGCTGCTACTACTGCCATTTTGTTGTTTTCAAGGGAGATTGATTTTTTTGTGTCTGTCTAGTCAAGGTTCCTTGCAATTTTCAAAGTTGTACAGGGTAAACATTTTGTCAAAAATTACAGTGATTCAAAATTGAGAGCAAACATTAGTGAGCAAACATGGAGACAGTTCATGCTCTGTAGCCATCCAAAAATGAAAATTAAAACAGGCATATGTTAAATTAGCAAGAAAATGTAACACTGTTAATAAATACCATTAGAAGAGAAAAGAAAAATTATGGTGAACTAGGCCTCTCCTACACACTGCTGATGGGAGTAGAAATTGATCACTAGAAATTGAGGGCAATTTAGCATTGTGTCAGAAAGCCACACAAACAAGCTTTTATGTCTTTTGATCCAGTAAATCACTTCTGGATATTTGAATTTCCTCTATTGAAGACAAAAGCCATGAGAATAGAACAAGTTACTTTTATGGTGTTCAGTTTGACATTATTAAAAACTTAAAATAACTTAAAAACTGATTGTTTTAGAAGCAAACCAAATATCAATAATAAAAAAGTAATTAATTACATGACAGAATGCTCAAAGTAGTTTGCAGCCATTGAAATGCAATAATGATGGCCACATTCAGCCAAATGAAAATGTTAATAAAATAATGTTAAAATAAAATCAAGTCTGGGGGTATAGCTCAGTGGTAGAGCACTTGCCTAGCATGTGGGAGGCCCTGGATTTGGTTGCCAACACTGCAAATAAAAAAGCAAACGTAAGCTGCAGATTTATATGCACACTACAGTTATGACCATGAAAAGCATGTATATACATCTGGATCAAACTGGAAGGGAAATGAGATCATGGCTCTAATAAGGGGTGAGATTATAGGTGTTTTTCCTTTGTATATATTTTTCTTTCTTATTAATTTTTTTAGGAAAATACAATCTTAAAAACACAAAAGCAAAATACTCAATTTTATTTTGTGGTGAAAGTGTGATACGAATCATTATTTAATGTTTATTTCCATTAGGAAACATTTATTTTCCCTTAATTGTTTAGAAAATGGTTTTTTCTAAGTATGATTTAGTTTTTGTTATATGATATTTTATTCCCCATGAAAGTGTATTTCAAGGGAACCTAGTGAAAGTCAATGAAGAATTTATTGGCATTCACTTTAAAGTCAATATTTTTAAACTTTATTTTGATGTAATTGTAGACTCATGTGAAGTTGTAGGAACTAATAGAGGTCCTATGTACCATTCACCCAGCCCTCCCCCTAATAGTAGTAGCTTATATAACTATGGTACAGTATCACACCAGGGCATTGGCATTGCCACAGTTCAGGATATAATTCAGATTTCTTTTTTTTTTAATTTAATTTTTTATTTTTTATTTTTTATTTTTTTTTATTGGTTGTTCAAAACATTACAAAGCTCATGACATATTATCTTCCATACATTTGATTCGAGTGGGTTATGAACTCCCAATTTTTTACCCCAAATACAAGTTGTAGAATCATAATTCAGATTTCACCAGGATTTTTTTTACAGATTTGACCAGTTTAGAATGCACTCATTTATGTGTCTTCTCTATATTTTTATGTTTTATATTTTCTATAAATTGCAGTGTGTATGATTTTTTTTAATGAGAGAAATTTCAGTTGGGAATAAAATGAGTTAAAATAGCTAGGTCTTCCAGTCCATTTAAGCAATTGAAACTCCACTATCAAGTCACTTCAAATGTGGTTGCAATTAGAGGGGGATTGTAATATGAACATAGTTTTTAGTAGTGCAATATTATGTTGAAGAGATTTTTATTGCTCTCTACCCGGCAGTACGCTGGCTACAGAGAAAGAGCCCTATTTTATTCATTCAAATAATTATAGTTGCTCTGAGCCCTGGGAATCTGCAATAGAAATGTATTTGTGAAAACAAGGTGGGGACATCACAATACTTGACATTTTGGTTATCCAGTTGTCAAAGAAAGTTAGATTTATTACATAATAAAACCCCTTTGCTTAATATCACCATAGTAGAAGGGACCACATCCAGTGTGCAAGTCCCTTTGTTGGAAAATGTTTACTCATCAGAGCGGGAATAATATCTAGGAGAGCAGGTTGGATAGAATGCTGAGAAAGCCCAAAGTCTTGGGGGGTAAGAGTGGCGTCCTAGTGTCCCAGGGAGGCTGGTGGAAGTGAGGGCTTCTGTTGCTTTCTCAAAAATGAGAACCAGTCCAGGCTGCTTGTGCATGGACTCTAAACGTCCTTATGTACACTGAACTCCATTACTTATTCTAGCACAAGTACCTGTGAAATTGCATTAAAGCTCAGACAATGATTTTATGCAATGAATTGATTTTCAAGAGTCTAAATGTCTAGAGTGGAATGTGCTTGGCTAGAAGGAAAAAAATGGGAACTACTCAACCCTTTATCACCCCAGAGTGGAACAGTAACAATTAAAGAGAATGGAACGACAAAATATACAAGCACCATAAATTAAAGGCACTTAGACCTTAAGATGCTGTGAAATTGACCTTCCTTTAAAAAAAAAAAAAACAACTTCAACCACTTTCTATAAGAATATGTTTAAAACCTGAGCCATTAGAAAAGACCTTTTAACTGCGTGATTGAAATCTCCCCATGACCATGCCAAACATAATTGTTTATTATTTACATCATGTGTCATATATTGAGCTGAGATTGACATTTTTATCCACCTTTCATTGAAAACCAAAAATGTGGTTTAGCTAGAATGTTCCTAGAAACAGTATTTTGCCAGTACTTAGACACATACACAAACACAGTCATTGCACAGTATTGTTCTAGACCATGGCTCATGATTTAGTTAACTTCTTCAGAGGTCAATTACAGATGTCACATCAATCCTCTTATGCTGTCTTCACGATCATTTTATATATGTTTTAAGGAAAGTACTAGTCAGTCCTCCTGCCCCTAGCAAATGTGAGGCTAACTTATTCAAGTGATCAGAATGCCACCTGCTTTGGGAATTTCTGAAGGGGAATCCAAATTCCACTTAAGTTTTTCTTTTCTCTTCAAAGGTATGCAATGAGGCTGAAGAACTTTGCAAGCCCCTTGGCTTCAGATGGTGACAAAAAGCTAGCAGTATTATGGTGAGTCCCATAGAGTCCACAAGGAAATAGCTGAAATGCCACAGGAGGATGTGAAAACTCCAGATTGACTTAAGCTGCTTACCCTGTATTATTATTCTTATTTTCCATTGAACTATTAAAGGATAACTAATGGATTTTTTCAGTCACTGACTAAATAGTTACTCTCCTAATTTATACACTTATCAAAATGGGGTTTTAATGCTTCCCTCTTCTTTTCAATCTAACAATAGGCAAGTAACTGTAAAATATGAATCATTATTGCTTTATAATTTCTAGGTTTCTCTAGGCATTAACATAATCTTTTCCTCATCACCACAGCTACCGATGTTTATCACTTCTCTATTTGAGGATGTTTAAACTGAAGAAGGACCATGCTATGAAGTACTCCAGATCACTGATGGAATATTTTAAGGTAATCCTTATTTTGTATAATTTATACGTATAGGATGGTAAAATGCCTAATGAAAAGTGGCAGGCATGTTATTAAATGTCAAATGACAAAGTCAAGGTTGTTGCTGCTAGAGGCTTAACCTCTCTCCTCCCTGCTGGCCATGGCCCTCCCCCTCCCATGCTTCCTTTAGTGTCATCAGTGAGCTCACATCTGATTTGATTCCAGGATGAGAAGGTACAATAGTGCAATCCCCTGATCATTTTCTTGACTGACCAAATAGACTGGTTACAATTAGGGAGATGTTGTCCTCTCTGCACCAACAAGGTAGGCGCAATTTGTAGCTATAGGTCTGACCCATTTCTTATTAAACAGGAAGTGAGCACAGGAGAGAAATGAGAGAAGTCACTGTGGCCAACCTGGCTGTGGGTGGATATCTTTACCCCTGAAAATCCTTTGGCCATGGGAATCTTAGAGTGCAGTGGTTGTAATTTAAGATAATCCATTGCCTTGGTTAATGCAACAGACAGAAAAATAAAGCCATCATATAGGGAGCCAGAATTTTGAATTTGCAAGCAAAAAAAAAATAAAAAGATGGGAAACCACACAATATAATGCCAAAATCTGGAAATGAGCCCAGATAAGAATTGCAAGCAGTAGCCTGGTGCTAATCTTGGCCACTTCATACTCCCCAACACTGGCCATGATTTAGAGTTGGGGAGGCTCAAGGCTTCCTTTTATTTGCAAGGTCTCAAAAGAAATTACCTTTTTATTCTTTCCCCAATTGCATGAGACTGCTTGGCTCAGTTGCATCAAAGCAGTTGTTTGGAATAAATCCAACCATGTCCCTACATCAAATACTCAGTGAGTATTAGTGCATAGTCACATGAGGACAGCATGACTCAGTTGGGAAAAAGAGCGAGATCCCAGCTATTATGAGGCAGGGACACAAAGCCATAAAGCTGATGCTCGTGTGAGTGAGAGGGGCTCACATACATTAGCTCCCATCCATTCAAATGTCTCGCCTCTCAACCTGTTCTGTAGAATGTGATTTTTGCACATCCATAAGCATCAGCAGTCCCCTACAAGACCTGTGAAACCACAGTGCTGGGTTTTACCCCCAGAGTATGTGATTCTGCACTTCTAGGGCATGGCTTGAGAATGTATGGATTTAAAAAGTTCCCCTGTGCTGCTTCTTCTGCTGGTCTTATAATCACATTTTGACAGCTGCTGCTCTAGTATCTGTCCTCTGTAGCCTGTCCAGTGTAGCTTTCAGGGCATTGCAAAATACTAGACAGACACTAAGTAACTCATTCATCTGGGAGTGTATTGAGCTTCTTGAAGGTTAAAACTGGAGTCTGTAGAATGGCTGCAGAGCATCATGGCATTCTTACTGGACTCCTGAAAATGCTGATTTTCTTCCTAATACCCCTTTTGTAAAAGAGGCCGGGCTAAAGTTTGGGAGGTACTGGAAGAACCTCAGCTTAGCTGTGCCTGTGGAGAGCAGGTCTGACTCCGGCTCAATGCCACAGGTGTCTGCCCATCTGTGCTGCTTGGGCTCCAGTGTGGTGAGGTCATTATAATGAGCCTGATCCCTGTCATGTTACAGTGATCCTGCCAGGTTTCCCTCTGATCTGCAAAGGTGTGGCTACAAAAGTACAGGAAACCAATTCTTTAAACTAGTCCAGTTTTATCAGAGGAACAAAAGAATGTTTAGCATTCCACTTTCCATTTCGCCACAGCACTGGAACAGTTGCATTTCCTGACAGGGAAACCCATCCCTCATGAAAATTTGCATGTAAAGATAGCTAATCAAGGTGATTCCCAATACAAACAAATGGAAAACATTGCCTGGTTCTGGCACATTCATAAGATATCACAAATTACAGCCCAGCCTGTATCCCAGGGAAAAGTTTGCAACTGTAGCTAAAGGTGAAAAGCTTACTTGTGCTCTGAAGAGCTTGTTTTGCAGAATAAATTTCAGATGAGGATAATTAAACCACTTCTTGGAGAACCGAGTCTGATTTCACTGGGCCTTTTAGTATATACGATCTTTCATCAAGTGACTTTCATGGTCCTGATTGGAGCCCACTAATTATCCTAACCAGCTATTTTCATCGAGTGAGCGTCGTGGTGTGCTGACGTGCACATACATCCCAGCTCTGCATCCCGAAATGCTGCAATCAATATTAATGTACTCTAAATCACACTTCCATCTGTTTCTGAATTAATAAAACACAAAATAGATGTCCTTATTTCCCTTTCTCTCTCTCTTTTAGCAAAATGCTTCAAAAGTCACTCAGATACCATCTCCATGGGTAGGCAATGGAAAGTAAGTATTTTATAAAAATTGCTTTTTCATGCAAATACATGATTGAAAAGGACCCCAAATATTTTGCATTGACAATTCAAAATTGAAGGTCAATTTCAGGATTATAGTCATTTTTGTACACACAGAATTCTAGCCAGGTCCCAGTTGATGGCAAGACAGAAAAGTTGAAATGGATATGGTTCCACATTCTTTCACTATTTGATCTTAAGTCAAACTATGGCTATAACAATATCTGCTAATGAGATAGCAAGCACCATGCCATTTTAAGGGGACAGGGTAAAGTTAACTCCATTGCAGTGATTTGTCAATGATTCGTTCAGTAATGAAAGACCAATGAAATATTCATTGATATATGGTAAGTACTATTTAATAAAACCAAAGGCATAATAGAGTTGAAAATGTGAAGGCACTTAGTCAGCCAATTATCTGAACCTTCATGATGATTTTTATATGAATACTAAAATACCTGACCTAAAATAAAAAGCATCTACTCTAATGCTGATCTAAAGCTCATTGAACTCACTCAGGCCTGCTGCCTTATTTAGAGTTCTGTCTGCTGGGGGCCTCACCCAGTCTACACAGCACTGGAGTGAGAAACCTGGACCTGAGGCTGCTCAGAGCACATAGGGTGAGCTAAGTGGGCCTCTTGGTTTCTAGGTTTGTTTCTCCTTTCCTAAAATGAAGGGTCTGGACCCGATGGCCTCTGAGACCCGCTGAAGAGAGATATTTCTTCTGGAAGATGATTTTGATCTCAGTTGTGTCTCTACCACAAACTGGCCTTATGCCTTTGCTAACTTTTCCTGAGCATTCACGTCTCTTCTGGTTCCAAATCCCCCCTCCCCACTCTAAGCCCGCTTCCCACCAGTAGGGGGAAGGGAAACTAGATGACTGTAGACAACGTGGGTTTGCAAAGAGCCTGCTTTATAACTCCAAACTGCTTTCTATATTTTTCATCATTTCAAAATTCTTGCATCTCTGATCAAAACATTTTCTTCAAAAGTAAAATAGTCTTTATAAATATCTACAAAGCATACTCCAAAAGCAGTCGGGCAACGAACTCTACTTTGAGATCATAAAAACATTCAGAGCAAGGGAACAGATCCATTAAAAACTACACATTAACTCAATTACTGTATTGAAAGGAAGCACCATTTAAATTGTTGAATGAGGTCTTACTCTTATATTGATGGACAAAAGAGAGGGAACGCTTCTCTCTGGAAGTTCAGAAAATAAAAATAACCATTGAAAGGCCAAGAGAAAGCTATTTTCTCTGAGCACAGAATGAAGCAAAGGCAAGGTCAGGTAAGCAGCTATTAAAGGATCACGGGGATTTTTTTTTTTTAATTCTGAAACGAAAGAACTCAAACACATTCTAAGCTTGTGGAGTCACATTAAAAGCCCACTGAAATGATTTTTAAGCAGCTTCTGTCTGAAGAAAGCACACTCCCTTTGGTAGGCTGGCAAGCTTTTGAATGAGGCAACTCTAAATAGTCACCCTGGGGTTATATCCCGTTCATTCAGCAAACACTTCAAGCACATCTGCTCTACACCAGGCCCTATATCACGATGGTGTGGGGAAACAGAGATGAATGGCATGTGGTCCCTGCACCACAGAAGAACACAGTCCAGCAAAGGGAGGTGACAGGTATAAATGCAGTGCTTTGGAAGGCCAGGAGGAAGAGTTTAGTTTTTCCTACTTGACCATATAAGGCTTCTTATCAATAGGCAAAATTATTGCCTGGTTTCCCAGTGAATGAGGATACTGGATCCCATTGAGGGCCCCTCATATCACCTTTCTGTGGAAGAACCCCCTGATTTCAAACTCTTTATGGCTGCTAGTTATTGGGAAGTCAATTGCCCAGAGGTGGCCATGGCCAACTTACTCATGGATCAGGGCTCCACAGGAAAACATATGGAGAGATGAATGAATGGAGGGTTGAGAATAGACCCTTAGGAACTAGCTTTCATGGTGGCTAGGAAGAAATTACAGAAAAGCAGTTGAAAAAAGAAGAAAATTCTGCTTGTTATAGGGCAGGGGTCTAGCAATTTTTCTCTATAAAAGCCAGATACTACATATTTGGGGCTTTTCAGGACCATAACCAAAACCAAGAATATTATCTAGAATAATTTGTGAGAGAAAACAAAAATCCACATTTTTACTGATGAAATTCAAATATTCTTACAAGTGCATTTTTAAAATATTAGTCAACTAATGAATAGGATGGATTTTTAAAAGAAAAACTAACATTTCACTTAATTTCAATTCAAAAATTAATTGACAACTCATTAATTTATTCAGTCTTTTCAAAGCATTCATAATTTACAGGCCACACTGAAACAGGAAGTAGATCAAATTTGCAGACTCATGATATAGAGTTGTAGAAGCCATGATGTGGAAAGTTTAAAAGGGTGGGGCAACTATTTCAAATTTGACAGATAATAAAAAGAAAGATGGCTAGGAAAGCAGTTGAATTTTGAAAGAAGGAGGCCATTTGAGACCTTCAGAAGAGCTCTTTCAGTAGAAGGGATATTGGCCAGTCCAAGGAGTGCAAGGAATCTGGTCATCATTGGAGGGACCATCAGATCAAACAAAACTTCTCCCCAGTCTTATGGAAGTGTGGCCTGTGTGAACATAGATGACATACCCATGGACCCTGGGAGAGTACTGGAAATAAACCAATGTGGGAATAAAGGTAAGTGTAGAGACCATTACATGTCAAATGAGATGCAGAAGGGCATTTGGAGGAAAAGAGACTTGATGTCAAATCCTGGCTGTTTGGATAATTTCCTGTATGGCTCTTAGGAAGGAGCAGAGAGAACTTCTCTGATGCCATACTGTCATCTGGGAGACAGTAGCAGCAGACACTTTCCTGTAGTTGTTGGGAGGCCTAGAGATAACATTGATGAAGCTCTAGGAACAATGCAGTAGCTGGTCAATGGATGGTTACTATAGCTGCTGCCAGTTATTGTTGACATTATCACCTTAAATTGGGAAGCATAAGCAATTCTGCCCGTAGAACCCCTATAGGTCTTACTCTGTACTTCCCTTTTGGCACTTACTCTAGATTGCCAGAAAATAATGTGTTCTCCTCCTCTATTAAAATATTTTGCCTTTTCAAATAAGGGGTCATTTATTCCTTCATCCATCAAATATATATTGAATGCCCACTATGTCTGAAACACTCTGCCAGGCCTTTTACAAATAAACACATCATCTTTGTTCTTCTACCCTCCAGAGCACTTTATATGTAGTGGACATGAAATAAGAAATAGAGGCAACTCATTCATTTATTCAATTGGTGTTCATTGCATATTTATTATGTACCAACCAGTGTTCAAGATATTGGGTATAGCACAGGACAAAACTGACAAAAATTCCTGCCCCCACATAAGTCATGTTGAAGGAAAAACACAATTAAAAACGTGATACGCTAGATGATGGTAAATGTGGAAAAAACTGAAAGAAGGAAAAAGGTCAGAAAGGGCTACTGGAGATGCGACAAAGGAACATTGATACAGTCTTGAACAGGTCCATTAGAGAAGTATGATGGTAGATCAAGCCATGCAGACATCTGGGAAAGTACATTCTAAGCAGAAAGAAGTGGAGTGTAGCAGATGGGTTCAAAGAATAGCGAGGAGCCTTGAGTGGCTAGAGAGGAAAAAGCTTGGTGAGTTGGAGCAGGATGGTAAGGTGGTCTTGGTGGGAAGCATGTGCCTTCAAAGTGTGAGAAAAGGATAGATCTGTGAATAGACACACAGCAAAAGCTCCAGAAGAGACCTCTAAGCACTATAAAGGTCCTATTGGATCTGGAAAGCTCTCCAAGGTGAACGAGGTCTGCTTAGAAATGTATCCTAAGAAACTGTGATTATGGCAAAGAGATAAGCACATTTGAACTTGTCCATTTTTTTAGTACAATATGAAATGCAAACATGCTTGTTAGAGCATTTGATCACAGTGTCTAGTATGAGACTACGAATAACCGAAAATAGATTCCTACCCTCACTCTCCTTGCCTCTGTTCTTGAGTATTTCCAAGATCAAAAATAGGAACTGAAATGGAAAGAAAGCCCTTTAAGACCAGTTCAGTGTAATAAATGGCAACGGGCTCTTTAAAATTGACATATAATAATTGTATGTACTTATGAAGTATAATTTGATACAGGTATACATACAACATGTAATGATCAAATCATTGTAGTCTGCATTTTCAACTCCTTAAAATTTATCACTTCTTTCTGCTATGAATCTATGAACTCCTCACTTCTAGGTCTTTATAAAAGATATAATAAGTTGTTACAAACTATGGTCACCTCCTGTGCTGTAGAACACCAGAATTTATTCCTCCTATGTAACTGACTCTTGGTTCCTATTATGGTACCTCTCCCCCCCCCCCCCCCCATGCTTCACCCTAAATCCCCAGTGACCATGAGTCTGTTCTGCTTCCATGAAATATGAGTGAGAGAGTTTTTTTTTTAAGATGTATGAGTTACAGAGTCATGATTCAGTTTCCCTTGTGTCTTCTGGATGTGGCTGAAAATCACTGAATCAACTCTTTTATTTCAGTCTAGGAAAGTAGGACCCAACAAGGGGAAAGAACATACTTAGGGGCACATGGCAATTGTGTGGCAGAGTTGAGACTAGAACCCAAGTCCTTGGGATTTTAGTACCGCACTGTTCCTTTTTCAACATTTGTGATATCTGTCAGCTTTGTCATTTTCTCTAGAGATTGCACATGAGAATATATTCCTTTCTTGCCATAAATTGACATTTAAGACTTAATAACCACCACTGAGAAAAAGACTAGAAAATAGCATTCACAGTAGGACAGCCAAAAAATCCAGCATTCACTGTTTTTTTTTTTTTTTTGTCTTTAGCTAATCCTTCTGTGCCAAGGTCCTCATCCCATTCTTGTCCTGAGAACAAGTAATCCTATCAAATAAGAAAACATCTCAGAAACCATAAACATAGCAGAAAAATACTCACACACTCTTAAAGAAGACAAGTACAGACCAGATATGAGAATCCATTTTCTCCCTCAGACCAGAATATACCAGAAGATATGCTCTGTTTGGCAAAAATGGTTCAAATGTCTCATGTGGCCCTGGGCACAGTCTGTGTAGGTCTCAAGAAGAGCATTTCAGCTGTAATTGCTCCCGCTGCTCCCACAGCTAGTCAGTAGCACTTCAGCATCTTGCTTGTGATTGCTGTTCCCCAAATCAGATGTGTGTGCTGCCCATCAGGGTGTGCATCCACTCTAGGAGCAGGTGTGGGCTCTGAGAAACACAGCTACCCAGGAAATCCAGACTTGCCAAGATCAGTAGCTGGTAAGTGAGTGGGGGATGAGACAGGGTTCCTTGGTGATGTGCTAGGGTGCAGGAGGTCACACAGGCAGACTCCAAGAATCCCAAACAAGCTCTCTCCATGTCTTTTATTCATCTGTTCATTCATTTATTCATTCATTTAGAGACAGGATCTCACTTTGTTACCCAGGTTGGCCTCAAATTCCTAGCCTCAAGTGATATACCCCCTGAGTAGCTGTGACAATAGGATTGTATCACCCTGCCTTTTACTCCCTGTTACTTTTACTCCCCTGGAATGTCCTGTTCTCATAAAATGGTGCATTTGCCTAGGAAGTTGTTTCAAGTATGGTTCAGGGAGATAGGAGGTCAAGGGACCCATAGTCTTTGTTCCTGTGCACAGAAAGCCACCCACACATCAAGGACTGTCACTGGGCAAGCCTGCAGCAGGCCAACCCTAAGCCCAGGCCCTGGAGGAAAAATTATCTCCATGCTGTGTGAAGCCAGCAGGTAACTCCTTGTTACTGATGTTAAAAAAGTTCAATGAAAATCTATGTCCAAAAACTGGTGCTACCCGAAGTAGTGACTCTGAAGCCTTCTCTTTATAAACCAGCATGCAGGTGAACCGTCAGCAATTAACAGCCCATGTCTGTAGCACATCTTAAAGAATCCTAAGGAGATATTCAGAATCCTACTTTTTCTCCAGCTTTCCCAATACTGCTCCTTGGGGGGCTTTTAAGAACTGCACTTGGCTTATTGTGGTAACTGTATTTGGAACAAACTGTCATTGTGGTTTCCACAAAACACTTTGATGATAGACCAATATTACACATCAAGTGTTTTCTAACTGCCAGTAGCTGTTCTGGCAGCAGGTAGAGAAATCATAGTAGCTCTGAGCTGTTTCTTTCTTTGAAACATTGCAACACTTGTCATACATATTCAAAGTAAGAGCTACATTTTGGGGGAGAATTAATGCCACAGAAAGATTCACCCAGCTCTCTCTAGTGTTTTAAAACAACAAAAAAAAAGCATTGTCCATAGAACCCTCAGTGGTGGTTACAAATGTGGAGGTCTTTAATGTTTCAGGTTAGAAAATGAGAAGAGGGGGCTCATTGCATGGCCTAGCACTATATCCCTGGGTGCCTTAGTTAAATGAGGCAGGTACACATTGGTGATAAACTCTCTACACTGGAACTTCTGGAAAAAGCTATTGTGTTGATAAGACCTATAGGATGTATTCTGAGAAGAGCCAGTGGGATTGTGGGCACAAGGTATGCTCCACTGGGGCTTCAGCACACTAACCTTTGCTCTGGCAAATAATATTCTGAGGAGATCCCAGTGTGATGAAGGCCTACAATTCCACTGTCAGTCTTCCCCTACCAGCCTAACAAGGTCTCTCTGCTTCCCAGGAATACTCCATCCCCTGTGTCTCTGAACAACGTCTCTCCCATCAATGCAATGGGGAACTGTAACAACGGCCCTGTCACCATCCCGCAGCGCATTCACCACATGGCTGCCAGCCATGTCAACATTACTAGTAATGTGTTACGGGGCTACGAACACTGGGACATGGCTGACAAACTGACAAGAGAGAACAAAGGTATGCTCATCTGCTGCATCCATGGATCACAGGCCATGATGAAGTCACCTGTGCTTTGAAGGACTAGAGTTGGTATCCTATCTTTTGGTGTCTCTGAGTTCCAGGGCTTAGATAAAAGAAAGTTAGCTCAGGACTGACATAGTGACCTATTTTTGCTGAATGAAAAAGGCCTGGAATTTTGTTCTCCTTTAAAAGCATAAACTAATCTGATCTATGATGTATTGGCAAAAAGCTATTTTGGAATTTCACTTACTGACAAGGATTAACACAGACAAACAGAGGCAAATGCAAAAAGTGATTTGCAAATTAATTAAGATCCTGTTAATTTTTTTTTTTTTTGAGAAGTAAGGTTGAACTAAGGCCATCCACCTTCATTATATTCATCAATTCCAGTTGAACACATGATGATGTGTCTTGCCTTTGGAAGCCAGGACCAAAGTTCAGCTAGTATTTTGCACACACCAGCTGGAATGAAGGATTAGGGTCATGTTCATGGAAACATGTGAGGCTCACTGCAAAACAAATGTGAAGACCGTGCTTCACTAGAGAGGGGGTCAATGATTATCGGTGACTCATGCTGCCACCCTCTGTGACCTTAGCTGTCATTTAGACTCACAACAATGCCTCACCATCCTAACGAAGTAGGGAAGTAAAATTAAAAACCACACGTTTGCCCTGGCAATTCATTTGACTTGGCCAATTCTGGCCCAGCAACTACAGACTGCCCACCACAGTCACGGTGATGTTAGATGTGAGCTTTTCAGAATAAGACTGCAAAGAGGTGACATTCTAGAATAGTAGAATTTTCTGGCTAGTAATGGAAAGGCATTATCATCCATCAAAATCCAAGTGGCACTGTGTGAGCTTGGATGCTGGTAGGTTCCAAGTAGTTTTATGGCTTTCCAGGGATCAGCTTGAAGATGCCAGCCACATATATGACCACAGAAGTTCCAATGGGTTTGACCAAAAAAGATGTACTGGGTCTCTTGGTCCAAATCTTCTAAGCCCCAGAGTCCTCACACTCCACAGCTCTCCTTCCATTTCCACCCAGGCCCCAGGGTTTCACCCTGTTTCTCTTCTCTTCTAAAAGCTGCCACTCTGGTCTCTAGTTTGGTTCTTCCCAGTGCTTGATTATGGAATGAGGCCTAGTCTTCCCAGCTCTACTCCTTGCTACCCATTACTACTGTATTGCTGAGTATGTGGGTAGCAGCCCCATTGGAACAAGAAGAATACAGATTTTTTAGCCTGATAGTTCTATTTTGAAGCCTGCCTGGCTCATGCATCACCTAGAAAACCTTTGTAAGTTACTTAAATCTGTAATCTGCTCCCTAACTTCCCTCTAATGCATATAACAGCAATGCTGCTGCTGAAACTACTCAAAAAGTGAGAAAGATGAATGGAATAATATATGTCAAGAACTTAGCATAAAATATAGTATGCGAGGTAGAAATCCTACAAATATTTATTATATTTCCTTAGTGCATAGCATTATATATTATATACATAATACATAGATACATAATGCTAAACTCTGTGGCTATCAAATCTCATTCCATAATTTGAGACTTTAATCCTAATTCCAGCTATAAATGTATACTAACTCGTGGGAATATGTACATGCATTAGTTATATCTATGTGTTAGCCAATTTCCATATCAAAGATACTGCATTATATGCTTTATTATTTGTTGTATCAAGTATCCCCATTTTATAGATGAAGAAACTGAGGCTTAGTGAAGTTAAGAAACTCATCCATGATATCATAGCTCCCAATGTTTATTAGAAATAGGAATTAAAACTAGAAGTATCTTATTATAGAGTCCAAACTCTTAACAATAGGCTACACTGTCCATCTAGAAAGCAAGATTAATAACAGGTCCTCGGGAACCTCTGGTAAGATCCTGAATTCAATCATTGCAACAATGGATAAGTCTTCCCTTGTTGCATATAGAGTTCTGGAAATCCAGAAAGAACTGGCCCAGACAACAGGCCCATCTACTGGTTCTAGAATTGTAAGCAAAGACATAGGCATCCTAAGATGTCTAGCTTGTCTCTTCTTCACTCTTTCTTATTTTGTATTGGTAACTGGAGGGCAGCTCAGTATTTATGGATTTCCTTTGTAATTGCATCTGTTTTCAAAATCTGTTAAAGTAATTCTTTCTAAATTAACTGTAGAACTTTCCAGGAGTGACTTGGTTGCTGTGCTGATGTTAAGGTGAAACATTGTTAATCTTGTTATTAGCATAGCCTGTCAAGGAGCTGCTAAAATCTCTGCCTACTATTGAATCAAAACAACTCTATCACTCTACCAGCAGAGAGAGAATGTGTCCCGCCAATGCTGTCATTGGGCTCTTCAGTGGGCTGGGGAGAAGGCCTAGTTTGGAATTTTCTGCTCATTGCCTTGAATTTCACATATCATTTCTATCTGCTTAGATTTGAGGATTCTTTCCCCATCTCGCTTGTCCTGACAAAAACAAGGGAACTGAGGAGCTTCTCTTTTGATGGGAACTATACATCCCACTGGAGATAACCAGACACTTGAATCTTTTGCCAACCAATGGTGCAGTAGAGATAGGTGCAGTTGGTTCTCTCATTAGGATGGCTCTGCCCCCACCCTCTGCATGCCCAGCCAGATAGCTTATTGCAGAAGGTTCTGGTGCCAAAACAGGCCAAGGGTTGATGCTGCCCTCTAACTTTAGATCTAGAAGCCCCATTCCCTACCTGCCCCAGCTGCATATATATATTGCTCACTTAAGAAGTCATTAAAATGTTGATCTGGGTATCTACTTAATAATTTCATAGGAAGCTTTTTACAGAATACCCAGGGGATGCCCTGGCTCACAGGAGGCAGTGACTAGGTCGTTTAATATTCTTCTTAGTATTTTATTATGTAAGAAAATATTTTAGATGCCATAAGTAATTTACTTCTTTATCAGCAGAAATTACTTTTTATTGCATAGTACAGGTTAAAAAGTATCACATAATCAAATGAAGTTGATACCTAGACAAGGAGTCCATATGTTATACATAACATAAAGAATAAATGCATTGTTTAGTGAAATACCATCTGCTGAGCAATCAAGCGCATGTAACCCATGCATGGAAATTGCTTTCCAAGGAGGAAGGAAGCATCCCAAGCACTTTAACGGAGCCTCCAGTCCCACTCCCATCCTGTTCCCAGACTCGCCACCCTCAACCAGCATACGCATGATTTCCTTATGGCTGAGGCCACCTCTTCTTTCAGGAGCTAACAAAGAGGAGGCCAGCGACCCTTCTTATAACCAAGCATCAAAGAAGTCAATTCGAATGTGGAAAGAGGACCCCTATCTATTTTTTAGCTATCATATAGTTTTTTCCAGGTACCCGCCTAGGCAGACATTTTAAAATCCCAGTCACCCCAGTTGGTTGTAGAACCTCGGGGCTGCTCCTTTCCCTTAATCAGCCAGAGAGAACAGTAAAATGGAAGGGCCATTCTACAATTCATATCCTTGGGGGCACAGGAAGTTGTAATATGACAGATATTTGCAGGTCATTTTTCATCCCTAAAGTAATCTGTAATAAGACTTAGTAAATCAGAATACTCCCAGATATTTACTTAGCTCTGAATGCTGATAGCTATAGTTGCTATCCAGATTCACCGGTTTTCTTTGCATCATGCCATGAAAAATCAGTAAACTTGATTCATTTAGACAAAATGAAAGTTATTTTTTTTTAACTCAGTAGCTTTTAGATGGCACACAGCTGAATATCAGATAGACCCTGAAGTATCTAAGGACCTCTTACTTTGGGATATAAAGACACTTTCCTAAATACAATTTTTTTTTTTTTTGAGAGAGAGAGAGAGAGAGAGAGAGAGAGAATTTTATTTTTAATATTTATTTTTTAGTTCTCAGCGGACACAACATTGGTATTTGGTGCTGAGGATCGAACCCGGGCCACATGCACGCCAGGCGAGCGCGCTACCAGTTGAGCCACATCCCCAGCCCCCTAAATACAAATTTATAACATATAAATATGATGCTCTTATATGGCATAATATACATTTAATAAAGTATATTTAAAAACATTTATATACTGTATAGATATATGTGAATATCTAGACAAATACCTTATGTTTATATATAATATATGTAGTGATATATATGGGTATGTATAGCAAACTTCCACAGGATTATTATGCAATTTTAGGATATGCTGAGAAGACACATAGTGAATTCAGTAACATATTTTAATTAATTTTGTCTTTTATTACTGGTGACAACACTAACATTATTTGTGTTATAAAGTTTTGGGAGCTTAATAAATATTAAAATAATAGTTCTTGATATACACATGGAACTTTGGTTCCCTTGGAGGCACTCTGTAAATTTTGGTTGAATGAATAACTGCCTGGGTGGTTGAACAAATGGATACATTTTCCAATGTCCACTTGATTTTGGTGTTACATAAGGGCAGCTTCTCAACCTGGTGCACATTGATATTATTTAAACTTCTGATCAAGGACTACTCTGATTTGCAGAATTCTTCGGTGATCTGGACACGTTGATGGGGCCTCTGACCCAGCACAGCAGCATGACCAATCTCGTCCGCTACGTTCGCCAGGGACTGTGTTGGCTGCGCATCGATGCCCATTTGTTGTAGTGGGTTCTCTCCTCTCTGTAGCGTCACCACCCATCACTCTACCTCTACCAGCACACCGATGGTCACTGGTGGAACTCCACTCATTTGGGAAAAGTTCTCTTTGGTTATGTTTGTTTTTATGCTTCTTTTGATACCTGTGAAAAAACTGAATTCATTGTAAGTGGACACTACAACTTGAGGGCAGTATATGTTTTATTCTTTTTCAGTATTCGAAACACATTTCTCAGATCCCACCATCTTTTTGTGCTTTATGGAATGATAATACCTACAATATTGTTTTAAGTCCACATTACCCAAAGCAAAAAAAAAAAAATGGGAAGCATGTGTGATGATGACAGGTTCCTGAGAAATGAAACAAGTGGTCTCACATGTATATGAAAACTTAGACACAAGGGACCTGCAAAGATTCTCAGCAACAGCTATCCCCCAAACTCTGCTCTTAATTTCAGAAAAGAATATACTTCAGAATCCATTGTTAAACTTGTGTGGTTCCCACAAACTCAATCTTTAGGAGAGAATTTTCTTTGTCAAAACCCACTGGTTAGATATTGGAGCAACATTATAAATTCAAAAAATCAGGAAAATTAAAGAGCATAGCAATGACACTCTTGAAACAATGCTATGCCACAACTCAATGACTGTTTTTTTTTTCACATCCCATTCCTTATTCCCTATATTGTTTAGATTTTAGTGATGAGGAAGGGTGACATTTATTTTGACAACTTTAAGGCATCAGCTGGCATAAATATTTTTGAACTCCATGATTTGAAGCTTAAATCCTCACCTGAGACTCTCTTTGTGCATAGGTTCTCCTTTTGAGGACCATTTTGATGGATGCACACTTTAGTAGCCATAATGCTCACTTCAGTCTTAAAGTTGAGAGATAAGAGAGGTCTGGGAAATATCCAATAAGGAATTCACACCTCGTTTGCAGTTGGTAGGCAGATCCATAACTGGCAGGATTTTTAAATTGTATTTTGCTCTATATATGGAAACAAATTTTCACTAGCTAGAAGGAATAATATACAATTTGCTTCCTATGGTTTTAGAATCTGTACTTCTCCAGTTATTATCCACATTTTCTATCTTACAGGGTTTCTTTCTTTTACTTTTTCTTTTATCTTTTTTCCCTTTACTTTTCCTATTTTGGCGGGGAGGGACCTATTAGGTTTTGAATGAAATACAATCACTGATTTTATTAAAGTTTATATTAGTATGAATTACTTCCATGAAAATTCCAAAGAAAACTCCAAATTCTGTAAGTAGTAGCTAACTTTAAAATGAGCCTTGGGGTAGTGCTTCATCCTAGGGTACTTTGAAAGAGCCCTGAAAATTGGGACAAGATTACTTAATTTGGAGACATTTTCCCATCAGTTATGACTATTTCTCCTCCTTATGGTCCTCTATATTCATCTTATGTCCCTAAATATCACAATGTAAATATCATCTTTGGTGTCCTAGCTCACCAGAAGAATCCCCCACTTGTAGTAAATACTATCCATGCATTAGTTACTTGTAATTACCTGCTGGCATATATTCCTTGTAGCCTTTAATCTGCTGAGCTATTGAATTCTGTTCACTGAGTTATGTCCAGATAAATAATAGATATGCATATGAAAGATTCAAACTTGTATGATTTTTAAAGCAAGTCATGCAGGTCTGTGATAAGAACAGCAGGTGATCACTCTGCACTCTCATTGTCAAGGTTAGATATATCCTCAGTTGCACAAGAGGCAGACCTGAGCTCTGTTCTGGTTATCTTTGAGTTCAAGGCCCTTTGTTGTATAATAAGGTTGTGGAAGTTGTATTCCAATGGCTAAAGCCATGTTGTTAATGTGGCTGATGGGAGCATCCCAGCAGCTGAAACCCACACTTTTTATGCTCCCAATGTGGTTGAGCATTACGTTTATAGTCTCAACAATAGCATTTACACATGTGCGTGCACACACATACTTACACACACACACACACAAATGAAACCTGAAAGAATCTTTTCTGAGCCTCTTAAATGAGGAAATTGATAATATGAAAGACTTAACACCCAAGGTGGGTGTCACATATAAAAATTAAGCTGATGACTTTGCAGTGACTCAAATTCTTGGTTTTCTGTGGCCTACCAGGTAGAGTGCCTGGTTATTACTTTATAATGAATCCCACCATCTTGACTTGTAAGTTTAACCTAGACCATGATCCTATACCATCATGGATTTAGGAGTAAATTCTTCTTGAAATTCAATCTCCAGAAACTAGACTAGAATTGTAGGGGCAGTTTCCCAGGGAAATGAGCACATTGCCTCATGGATAAAAGACTTGTAGCTCTAGTTTCAATGACTTGTTATATCTACTTACACACAACAGGGAGGCAAGAGGATTCTCTGTCATCTCTGGTGGCTGAGTGTAAAGTGCGTGCCAAGTCAGCAGCACCACTATCAAATCTGACAGTTGAGCTCTGGATCACCACCTGATTATTTAGTAGACCCATTGTAATGCACTCAGAAACCAATTAAATATGGAGGATAAATTGCCTTCCCGTCCGTGGAGATGAGACATCTTTTAGTTTCATGATTAAGGATTGTTGCTGTTTTCTAGGCACTCTGTTCATCACATTGTAAATGGTGATGTATGTTGTGGGTGTGCAGCTACTGAGATTTTGTCAAGTGGATCTCTTCAGCATACCAGTTTGGGGGAAGGATATGAGACATATGAATGACAGTGAGAGATCATGCCTCTAGACCTTGATGGAGGCATGATGAGAACACATATAAATAAGCATGTGGAGGTAGGGGATGGGCAGAACAACGGGCAGCTCCCCTGAGCAAGTTTAAGGAAAAAACTCAGCCCTACAAAGTGATCCAGGTAGGGCCACCATAATGCCTTCATTGGTCACCCAAGCTCCAACCACAGAGAGTCTGAAAGGTTTCTGTTATGATGTTGGCTTGGCTTTGGATTTTTAATTAGCTTTGGATTTTTTAGTGGTTTTGTCATATTACTGTCTGAGTTTGGTAGGTAGGATTAATTTGAAGAGTTTACTAGTGTGGTCCTTGGGGTAGAATTTAGCTGTAAGCATGTTGTTAGCCAGCCTATAGACTGTTAATTACTGAATAATCTCATTGGGAAAATACTAGTAGTTTTACATTGGGATGACATAATTGGAAAAGCAGATTAGCCATTGCTACTTTTAAAAGACTTGAGGTTGGGATGCCTTTTCTTCCCCTGTAACGTAGTAAAAAGATCCAAATCTTCAGTCAATGATGAAGTTACAAAAAAGAAACCATTGGCTAAAATGTTGTGTTGAGTTTCCAAATGGATGGATTTTCCTTTGGACATTACATGGCTAAATGCATTGGATTTGGTCTGCATTGGAAAGACACTGTCCTATAGTATCTTTCCCAAAGCTATCTAAAAAGGTTTTTGTTTTATGCAAATTTGCATCCCAGAGGTTGAAGTTGGAGTTTAAAGTTGGAAAGCATTTTTGAAGGCAGACTCAATTGAGTTGTGAGGGTGAAGCCCTCATATTCTTCTCAACAAACATGATAAAATTCACCTGCATGAGTTGGCGGGTGGGAAAACCAAATTGGTCACTGGGTAGGACTACTCAGTAAAGCAATGAACTGCTTGCTTAGAGAAGCATCACTATCCCCATTGAGAAAAGTGTGTGGCAAGATGAGATAGCTACACAATATCAAAAGAATGGGTCGATTCAGTGCCCCCAAATTCAGTTTTGTGGGGAAAAAAGTATTGAGCCAGTTGTTGGTGTTCTGTTACACGACTGGCAGACTAAATTCTTTGTTGTCGTCGTTATCGTTGTTGTTGTTGTTGTTTCTCATTTCCAATCGCACAGCCTTATTCTCATAATTAAACTCTGATTCATTTTCTCTTTGGTGTTAGCAAACTCCAACAACAGAAATGGCATCTGTGTATTGATAATCAGCATTTACCCTGGCAGGAGACTACTCAGCTAGGCTGGTCTCAGACATTAATCCTACCATCTGATATTTCCGGCAAAAGAAAAAGTATTAATTCCCTTTCCATTCTCCTCCTCACAAATCTCGAAGCCCTCTTTACCAAGAGCATCACATTTTTCTCTGTAACAAAAAGAAAATTGCATTGTGGGGAGGGCGGAGGGGGGGTGTGGGTGGGGGGTGGAGGGTGGGGACTCCCCTGGAGGCCAGACCGCAGTTCATGCCCCTTCCCGCTTCTGACATAAAATGTTAAAGGATCATTCATAGTGCTCACATTGGCTTAGGGGACACCGAACTGCTTTTGAGATCCATGATCAATCATCGTTCTTCTGAGATTGGAGCTTTGCTGTTTCATTAACTGTGCAGTGTAGACTAATGGTGTTTAATAAAAATCATTCAAAATTTCAAACTCTTTTGCCAGTGACCTCAATTTTGTTGGCTCTTTGATTCGTATCAGACTTTGAAGAGAGAAGAGGGAAGTAAAGGAAGCCTGCTAGTAGGCCTCGGCAGGACACTGCTGCAGCATTCCCTGGCCACCTGCTTACCAGCAATCCCTGGTGAGCAGCAGCATGCACAGAAGCTGTGGGAAACCTCCCGAAGAATTCCCCAGTGGATGTTTTCAACTGAGGATACCTTGTTCCTACTGGGGGCCTCATTGTTCTTCAATCTCCATAGCAGGAAGCCAATCTGGAGAAAATTTCAGATGCTGTACATATTTGGTTTTTTACTTGCATCATTTGTGTGGCTACAAAATAAAAGTGTCTTCACCAATAGAGTGCAACATGGTAACAATGTGTAGCCAAATGTACCCCAGATGTTCATGCCCTTCTGTGCTTCTATAGGGCTTGTAAAACTGGGGGAGAATGCGCCTCTAGATAGGGAGCAAAATTGGAAAAACCCCAAGATAATGAGTTGATGGCACATTGCTCAGTCCTTTGGTCAGCCTGGCATGCATCCAGTGGTGTGCTGGTAAAATGCTTAGCTATTGGCTTTCTGAGAATACAAAGCACCTGATTATTAGCATTTGCCAGTTCCCATGATGTAAATTCTCCCACCATCACAGATGTTAAGCTACCAAATTTGAAATCACTGAACACAGGGTTGGGACATGTTGTACACCATTCCCTTGTGAGCCTGGACAAGCCAGCTTGGATCTACTACTGAGTGCTTAATCTCCACCTACCATAAATAAAATGGAAGTGAGATAAGCACTTAGAAAACTCTCATGATTTGTTTTTTAAAGGATAAATGAGTGTTTGTATTATTATTATTATTATTATCAACATTATCAATTTTATTTTACTGACTTCCAGCTAGTATTTCTAACTTTAAAATATATTTGGATAAAGTAGGTATGGGGCCTGTGTGGAGAATAGCACAATCCCCAATATGC